GCAAGCCAAGAGCTGAGCAGGGGAGGTAGGCAAGTGGAACCGTGCCCAGAAGCAATAACTAAGTTTCTGACTAAACTCAGATTTGAGCACATAAGATAAGAAACTTTGGACCAAAAAAGCACAACACATCCTACTAGTCATGGACACTTAAAAATGGGGGAAGCAAAGCTGACAAATGGAGAAAGACCACATGTGAGATCTCTGAAGTAGAAAAATCATTAAGATTTCAGAACTTAGACCTATGAAGACCAGATGCCATAGCCTGAATCTTGCCTCCAACAGCATAGTCTGGGTTCTCAACATCAAACAATACAGAGAAAGCATGTCATTAAAGCCATTTTGGAGGAGAATCCACTGGTGCTTCAGTGGGATCTGTCTCACCAGAATTCCACTTAGATGGTGTGGTAGTTTGGTTTGTCAATTTGGCTAGGCCTGGGTGAGTAGCTGGGCAGCTGGATTAGCAGTCTCATTGCTAATCAAGTCCATGGTGGAATCTACTGGGAGCAGGTGAGTAGCTGCCTTTGGGTATGTGGTCTGCTTCCTGTATATAAGGAGAAGCTTTGAGAATGGTCTTTAGCCTATGGCACGCTTGGACCCTGCATGTAGCTGTGTTGTTGCTCAGCAGCCTGCCATGCTCTGCCGACCTTGGGACTTGCAATGGACTTAAGTTAATGGCCTGCCGTGTGGTTTGGTAACATTGGGACTGTGCCATTTTACTTGTTAGCCTTGGGGTTTCTCAGCCTCAGCAGCCAGCAGCTGTCTGAGTGAAGAAATGCCTCTAGCTCCAGTGGGCCAGAAGCAGGAGACAGAGCTGGACTCCAAGGTTGAAGGGCTTTCACCCAGCCCCTAGAGCCTGGCACTTTGAACTTGGACTTAAAGCCTCCAAATTGTAAGAATTGTAAGAATAAACTCCTATTTGTTAAAACCATCCCATTTGTGGTATATTTCTCATCAGAGCAGCACTAGGTAACCAGAACAGATGGCGTGATGGTTAAGTCTGTGTGTCAACTTGGCTGGGCCTGGTTGAGTGGCTGGGCAGCTGAATGTAGTATTCCCCATGATGAGACTGGTAATCAACTCTATGGTGGAATCGAGTGTGAGCAGCTGAGTAGCTACCTGCCTTAGGGATGTGGTCTGCTTTCTGTATATAAGAAGCCATGGGGCATGGTCTCTAGCTTATGGCACACTTAAACCCTGCATGTAGCTGTGTCATTGTTCAGCAGCCTGCCATGCTCTGCCAACCTTAGGACATTCAATAGACTTGAATTAATGGTCTGCTGTGTGGTTTGGTAACATCGGGGCTGTACCTTTTCAGTTTTTGACCTTGGGTTTGTCGGCCTCAGTAGCCAGTAACTGTATGAGTGGAGAGATACCTCTAGCTTCAGTGGGCCAGAAGCAAGAGGCAGACCCAAGGTCGAGGGGCTTTCACCCAGCCCTTCCAAGAGCCTGGCACTTGGAACTCTGACTTCTAGCCTCCTGAACTGTAAGAGAATAAACTCCTATTTGTGAAGGTCATCCTATTGTGGTATATTCTTGTCAGAGTGGCACTAGGTAACCAGAACAGATGGACACATGAGGGATGAAGAGGCAGAAGGTATGGCTGATGGGGAGAAAATGCCTATGAAAATTAGTAGTATTTATTGGTCTTAATTTTAAGGAAAGGATCTTTCCAAAAATTAAATTCTATAATGCATATATGGGTATTCACTGACAAGTCTTTCAACTTTTCAGTAACTTTGAAATTTTTTAACCTAAAATGATGGAAAAATTAAACAGCAGTATTCTCTTTACAGACAGCAAAAAATATCAAGAACAAAATATGACTGTCAGTGATTCAGAGGTGTGAGGGTACCCTGGAATCACAACAGCAGTGTCCATATCAAAGTATAAGCACAGAATGATAAAGAAAGCAGTCCAAAGCCACATTATTTATTTTTTTGAAATGTATATGCTCTGGTAGTGTAGTGCCTAAGGCATTTGACTGCTAACCAGAAGGCTGGTGGGTTTGAACCACCAGCCACTCCTTGGAAGGAAGATTGGGCAATCTACTTCCATAGAGATACTGCCTCAGAAACCCAAGGAGGGGTTGCTATGAGTTGAATCGACTCGACAGCAGTAAGTTTGGTTTTATTGGTTTATACCTTTAACAAGACACTGTGAAAATGACAAAATGAATATATCATGATAGAGAAAGCAGATAAATTGCCTGGGAATGTCCATACACTTTATTATATGTAAACTATAGCTCAACATAATTAATTTTTTTTGATACTGTAATCTCGTTTGGTATATATTTTTAGGATGACCTCATAAGAAAAATGATATAATCCAAAGAACAAGGAAGAATGGAGAAAAACTGATGTACTTGAATTTTGTTGTTGGTGAAGAATACTGAATACACCATGGACTGCCAAAGGGATGAACAAATCTGTCTTGGAGTATGTAACTGCCACATTCTTCACTGAAATCAAATGAATAATGTTTGAGATTTACAGGAAGAAAATTATGAACAGTGGCTTGTAAACAATCAATGCCGCCGTTTCCTTCAGGGCATGTTTCCTAATTTTTATGAACTGCAATTTTATTGTCAGAATTTTGATATTATGGAATAAAAACTATTGACACCTTTAATTTTCTAAGTCATAGAAGAAAATCCAAACAAAGGAAATAAGAGCCTAAACATCAAACATGTCCAAATGTTCAATTCTCTTGGTAATTATAGGGACACAAGATAAAAACCCCAATCATAACCCTAGTCATGAAAATTATTTAAAAATATGTAAAATTTAAATTTATAAACATTCACTTATTACTTGAATTTGTGTTCATAAAATATCTAATTTATAGAATATCATCAACAAGCAACACAGAGCATAATATACAGAAAATCTAACACATTCACAACTAAGATATTGGTGAGGTTGGCCTTGGTAAGCAGCCAGTTGGGCATAAGAGCACAGAGGAGCAACAAAAAAGGTTCATTTGACCCCTTTATCCAAAGCAAGGAAGATGAGCTCGTGAACAACAACCACAAAAACAGCAACAAAATTTAAAAGACCTCTGGTCTATGCTGGTAAATATTTTATACTTTTCTGCAAAGCTATAAATAATCAGCTCCCTGACAACAGCCTGTTTTCCCAAAGCTCCTAATTCTGCACAGTCAATGCAAACATGGACCTCGTCCTGTGCCCAACAGGCTACTTAACTCCTGGAGATGTGCTTCACCAGCTTGACTTTCCTCCTATGATAAAAGCTGCTCTCAACCATGACCAGTCAATGCACTGGATGGCATTCTGCCTCCCAAGCCTAGCACTACCTCTTCTAGTTACAATTAGGCCACTATTTTCTCCATACTCCAATTTTCTTTCCTTTACTCTGTTTACATTCCATGTTTAGGATCCATGTTCTGTAAACTGGGAAGAAGTCAGTGTGCTGTGGGTAATTTCTAGCATTACCTATAACCGCAATTTACCAATCTTTCACTTAGCTGACCAATGTTTATCAAGAGTCACTAAGCAAGAGGTATGGCATCTACAGTGCGATGGCAGGAAAGGGACAGAAGGCAGGAAGGCATCGTCAAGTTGCTCAGAGTTGCGCTGGAGAAAAAGCATCTGCATACTTGAAGATGGAGCCAAGAATCCGAAAAGGAATACACTGTGATTGAAACAAGTCTTTTAAACAGAACATGTGTTGTATGAACTCAGATCATTGCAGACTGGGATGATCAGAGACAGGGCTTAAGAGGGACTACAAGGATGTATGGACTTCAACCATGCAGTGAAAAGGGAGGGAGTGAGATGCTTCATCATCATGAAGAAGAAACAGTTAAAGTACAACCTATAAAGATGGAAATTTCTATTTTATTAATATCTATACATTCAAAATCTTTAGTGTTTAATAAAATCGGCTAATGAAAGATTAAAATTAAAAACAGTACTAACCATTGAAATATATAAAGAAGAAATATCTAATTTTTTTGTGTATTTATGAAGAAAGCATGCAAAATTCTCCAATTTATTAAAATATGAACTACTTACTCTCCTAGACTTCGGTCACAAAAGGTAAATGCATTTGGGAGAAAAACAACAATATTCAGTTATAGTATAAGAACTTAAAGTAGAGCATAACAAACTGCCAAGATGAATTTTATGCTCTGCTAAATAGTTCAATAGTTATTTTTCTAAAATCTACTAGGTACACATGTAGACACATTCCTTTATTGACAAGGAAGCAGATTTATGTTTTAATATTCAAATTATAATACTGACACTATAACTAAGGTACCACAAAATGACCCCAAAAATTTATAATAGTTTGTGTTTTCAGTAAGCAAAGAAAAACCACCACAAAGTATCACTGCTGATGTGTTAGCATATAGAGAACTCATTAAGTGAAAGTGATGATGCAAAAAAAAAAAAAAAAAAAAACCAAAACTAAGGTTTTTTGACCTATCAGAAAATGTCCATAAGACAACCTAAGTCCACATATCCTATTGAATACATAACTTTATACTTTATACACAAGACAGCATTGAAAGAGACTTAGGTGGTCATCTGTTACATATCTTAAATCGGCAAAGAGTCCACATACATAGTCAGGTAAACCAAAAGTTCTAGGAACAAAATGGTTTAAATAAAAGTGCTCCACATGACAAAGACACAAAGAGCTACCATATTTTAACACAAGTAACACACGCATTATAAAGTTTTTACAAATGGCACAAACCCTTGCACATTAGTTTCTTATGCATGCTACGTGAGTGTGCCTGTTATTTCCATGAGTGTGTTATATGTGGAAAATACTGTACTTTCCAAGCAATTGATAGAGCAAAAACGTTTATACACTGATTCTCCCAGGAAATAAACGTACTTTCTAAGACAGTTTTGTAAGACTCAGAACAAACTGTGAATACCTAGAAGGTACGGATTTTACATTCCTCCATCCCAAAGAGTTCTGAAACACGGGTATAAAATGAGTCCTTCGAATATAAATCCCCTCACCTCTTTCTGTTCAACTTGCAATGCTGATTTCAAAATATCTCGCAGCTGTATTAACTGCCTTCTTTCTTCATCCTGGGCCTGTTTGATCTTTTTTTTTTAAAAAAAAAAAGGGCAAGGTAAGGCTGAGGTGACAGTGACATGCTGCTGGAATTCACAGGGCATTTCAATATAAATGCAACAAATGACTCACTTCCTCACAATTTTAAACCTTCCCTCTAATCAAGACAGTTTAAGAACAGAAAGTACACCACTATGCTCTGCATGGCACTAGAGGGCTATTAGTTTCTCGGTAGCAAGGTACATAAACACAAGATTACACAGAAACAATATTTAAATGAAAATATTTGTTATAAGCAAACTGCCTCAACAGCAATGTGGGAGGGAAGCTACGCACTGTGTGAAGATCTGTTGAAAGTGTTTCAATGGAAGGTTTGAGGCTTTCAACTGCTTTCAGTCCATCTTGGAAAAAACTAGGGGAAAAAAAAAGGAATAAACATAAATTATAATTCATTAAGGAGAAAATAATTTTGTTACTGATTATGAAATTCCTGGGGAAAAAGAAGGATGAACAGGAGCTTAAAATACCAGGCAAACTAAGAATAAAATGATAGAGAAAAAAGGAATTGCAGTAAGTCTAAGTTTTTGTGATTTTTCTTAACCCACATAAAATGAGACCTAAATTTTCAGTTTATAATGAAAAACAGGATTCTACTGCTGAATGGGCTTTAGCAGTAGGACAAGTAGAACCAAGCTGAAGGGTTTGGTTCAGGGATCTCCTGCACATCCAAATGGAAGAGTCTGAGACCAGAAAGGACAAGGAGTGAAAACAAGAAGTAAGACACTAAAGGATTTCCGTGACAGGTAATAGAGTAAAGTCGAAATGAGAAGGAAAGCAGGAAAAAAAAAAAACAAGCAAATCTGATGCACATCAATGGCCATGTTCAGGCTACAGCATAGGAAAATGTGGTTGAAGTGCTTAAGATCAAATACGAAAAGGGATTTTTTTTTTTTAAATCTCAGAACTCAATGCCTGTAAAGTCATTTACAACAAGTGATTCAGGAAATACAACTGGCAACAGAAGCTAAACAACTTATTGTGCAGTAACAGAATGCCGGTGTTCAGCACTGCCTCTAAAACGTGCTGTGTGTAACTGTTGAGGAAGAATGAAGAAAAGCTTCTCATTGCACTGAGACAAAGTTCAAAACCTGTAACAAGGCCCATAACGCCTGTGTGGCCTGGCCCAGCCTATGCGTCCAGTCTCATTTCACACCATGTGCCCCCTTCACTCATTTAATTCTTTAGGTTCCTCCATTAGCCAGGAAATTCTTCCTGCATCAGGCCCTTTTCACGTGCTCTTTCTTCTAATGGCTTCTCCCTGAAGCAAGTTCACTTCACTTGGCTGACTCCCATTCCCTCTTCTTTTATTTATTTATTTATTTATTGTGATTTGGGTGAAGATTTACAGAGCAAATGCACTTTCCATACAGCAGTTCACATACACTTTCTTTCATGACATTGACCACAGTTACCATAATGCAACAGCTCCCCTCCCACTTCCTCCCAAGAGTTACCTCTTCCCTGTGTCCATCCCTCCATGGACTCCTGCCCCCTGAGCTGTCTC